TATGTAATAATTTTTGTTAATTTTTCAGGTATAATTAATTAATAATTCGTATTAATTAATAATTAATAATTGTAATGGTACGCCTATGGTAATATGCTGGAATATGCCCACATTTATTATTATAATGTAGTTGGATGGTTCCAAAAACGACAAGTTAAACAAACAATAATTAATGACTATTAAAAACGAGTCGGATGAATAAGCTTAGTAACTGTAATTTATACCTATACAGTGTGGATACAAATTGTGGAATATAGCTTATATTTCTTAAAATATTTGTCATATCAAAATCATGTTTTAATAAAAGTGTTAGGGGAAATTATTTCCGTTTAGTGATATCAAGCAATCTTTCGTAGCACAAAAAATGTGGTTGCCAAGGTAACCGACATAATTTTTTTAAACGGCACCATATACTTTTTGTGGTGAAAATTAATACATTGAACCTTTCTAAATACGATACAATACAATTTTAATGAGGTCACATAAGAAAAAAATACAAAAAATTTTGCTATTATGCTTTTGACACTGTTTATCAAAATAATTATTAACTCAAATTAGCCAAGCCAAAATCAGAACAATTCGAAACTGTCACTAGCTGTCAGTTGCTTGTAATTGTGTGCATTGTTGCAGTAAACGTACTTTTTTACTCAATTTTTTGTGTACTTAAGTACTTAGTAAGTTATAATGGCGCTTGAATTAAGTGAAACGGAAAGAATACATGTTTTAATGGTGGTGGGATATGGTGTCAGGAAAGGGACACAGCGGGAAGTATGCGAGTTGTTTAACGAACTTCATCCAAACATACCTCAAATAACCACAATCTTGTGTTTCTAAATTGTTAAAAAAATTTAACGAGACGGGAAGCGTTAAAGACAAATTACATACAGGGCGGCCAAAAACAGCTACTGATGACGATACTACTTTAAAAGAGACTAAGAATGTGCCTGAACAATAATGAATAATGAATAAATTCATATCCGTTCAATTTTTTCTTTTATCCTATTAAAATTAGCTTAAAACGTTGATATTTTGATTTTTTGACTCCTTACTTTAGGACATAAAATAAAATTATAAAAATTGAATTTAGTGTATTTTTTTCTTATGTGACCCCATTAAAATTGTATTGTATCGTATTTAGGAAGGTCCAATGTATTAATTTTGATCAAAAAAAGTATATGGTGCCGGTTACCTTGGCACCCACATTTTTTGTGATATGAAAGATTTGATTTCTTGATATCACTAAACGGGAAATAATTTCCCCTAACACTTTTATTAAAACATGTTTTTGATATGACGAATATTTTAAGAAATATAAGCAATATTCCACAATTTGTATCCACACTGTATGTTCAATTTTGAAATACTTCTCAGAATTTAAATGAAAAGTTAAAGCAGTTATGACGTTTATTAAAGAATTAAATGTGTAAATTTTCTTTAAACAAGTTTTTAACACAAGTAAAATCTTTTTCTAGCTTCTACACTAAAATCGTAGTTTACGCTATATAATGTTCTACATATAAAAAATGAGAACAACGAGATTACTACTTTGCATCTGATGGCATGAGATGAAAATTTTCCGTGGCAAAGAGGAAACAAAAGAAGCACTATAAGCCTTCTGATTCCTTTATCCGTCTTATAAAACTTAATTAAAGAACAAACTTTAGTTGTTTAGCATTAGATTGTTGTTCAAGTATTATGAAAGTGTTAAATTGACAAGATTGGATTGAATTTTGCTACACAAATCTCCTTTACCTCTTACACTGATGAAATTATAAGCTTTAATAATTTTCGCTCATATACAGGGTGCTCCTTTTAACCGTGCTTTATAAATTTTTAGCGAAATTAACGTTACTAAACAAGCATCGCATAGATTCGTTTCCATAGGTGAAATTGTACATAAAATTTCATAACATTTGGACGAACAGAAGCGGAGCTATTGGTCTGAAGTAACAGTATGTTTTAAACTTGGTAAAACTGTTGGCCTTTGTTGCATGATAATGCGCCATCTCATTGATCGACACTTGTGACCGATTTTTTGACTAAAAATTACATTTTAACTATCGATCATTCCTCGTATTGCTCTAATAATAGACCAGGAAAAAGAGCTAGGAAATGACCATTTCGCGACTTTTTGTTTCGGCGAGCTGAATTTATCACTATAGATGCTAAATATTATGTACAATAACATATTAGTTTCCACAGTCATAAAAATGAGAGGAAGATTGTTTACAGGCTGGTTAATTGTATAATTTTTACGTAAACTCACGTTTTTCGCTTATAACCTTTTTCCGTTCATTTCTACGAGAAAACAGTAAAGTACTTTTTTTTTCGTCTTTAAAAGACCTACAAAACTGAGCTTCAAAAAATATTGATTATATCAAAAGTTATGAACAGAAGAAGTTTATTTATGACTTTTGAATTAAACATTTATAAACTGCGTTATTATTACCAGAACGTTTTGGCATCGCATCCTCTCATTCCTTGACTGAGTCTAATAACTCACACGAAATCTGGAATCGGTAAGTTGAATAGTTTACAAGTTATGGCCTTATAAACAAATTAACTAATTATTAGTCTGGACGATCCCGAGCATCTTCCATAATCGCACTGATTTTTTTTCATGGTAGATTTCATAATAACACATTGAAATCTATCATTTTTTTTAAATTTCAAATTTGCAACTTACAGTTTTTTTATTTTTTAGCATTAGCTGCAAAATGAAATATACGACGCACGCGCGTGATATAGTTATATATTATTACATATTCAGAAAGCTTATAAACAGAGCTTTAAGTTAAAAAAAATCGTCAAGATTCGTTGAAAAATAACGGAGTTACAGATTATCAAAGTTGACGGCCTATTGTTAAACAAATTAGGTTGGTAGCGGCAAAAAAAAATAGTGTCATAACCGACAAGCCGAGTGACCTGACAGTCTGTAACTCCGTTGTTTTTCAACGAACCTTGACGATTTTTTATTAACTTAAAGCTCTCTTCATAAGCTTTTCAAATATGTAATAATATATAACTATATCTCGCGCGTGCGTCGTATATTTCATTTTGCAACTAAGGCTAAAATATAAAAAAAAATTTCAGGTTGCAAATTTGAAATAAAAAAAAATGATAGATTTCAATGTATTATTATGAAATCTACCATGAAAAAAATCAGTGCGATTGTGGAAGATGCTCGGGATCGTCTAGACTAATAATAATTAGTTAATTTGTTTATAAGACCATAACTTGTAAACTATTTAACTTACCAATTCCAGATTTCGTGTGAGATATTAAGACAGTGATAAGGAATAAGAGGATGTGATGCCAAAACGTTCTGATAATAATAACGCAGTTTATAAATGTTGAATTCAAAAGCCATAAATAAAATTCTTCTGTTTATAACTTTTGATTTAATCAATAATTTTTGACGCTCGAGGGCTAGTTTTGTAGGTCTTTTGTAGGTCTATACTAA